CTTGTGTTAGCTGGTCCCACTGAGCGATCCCCGTCTGTTCAGGCTCTGTGTGCTGCAGCTCAGGCCTCGACTGTCCGTCAGGTGGCTGGACTGAGGAGCAGAAAACACAGAATCATCATCACAACATTCAGAACAATGCAAACACTCACTGCTGATGTAAACTGAGTTTCTGTCAAGTACCAATGAGCAGTCAGTATCTTACTGGTAGAGGACAGCGGCCATGTTGATCTCAGTTTGGATAATCAGGGAGAAATGCTCATATAAAGGTCTAAGGAAGCGCTTAAAAGCCAGAGTTTGGAAATAACTTCAGGATCTCGTTACGATATACGAAAGTCGCTGAAACCAGAAAACTCATGACGAGAGGAGAAACTTGTTAAATGGGAAAACACGTTATCTGTTAAAAACCTTATTAAAGCAAGACATTTTATAAAGCCGAGATGAAATACTCGTTAAAATAAGAAAAAACTCACTACAATTTGTAATAATATAAAAAAGTATTAAAATGAGAAAAGTCAGGAGATATAAAACTTGTTAAAATGAGAAAATGTTTTATATGAAACAAAACATTTAAAGGAGAAAACTCTCTTTTGAACAAATTAGAGCTTTAGCATTAGCTTCCACTAAATACCATGTCAGTGTAGCACTTTAGCGTTAGCAGAGTTGTTGTTTATGATTATTGTGTTTGGGTTAGCACAGCTAACATCCTGGTTAGATGTGTCCAGTGTTGCTTAGAAGATATTAAGTTATTAGACGTTAAGTTTATTTTCTACGAATTATAGCTCAAAAAATAACAGAACGTTTTATGTTGAAATGAGTAAAAATCACCTGGATGTGTTGTGGAAATGATCTTGTTTCAGGAACCAGAGAATGAATTTATATTCAAAGGCTTTACAGCGCTCAAAGACTCTGTTCCCTGAGCAGACAGGAGAAAAAGAGCTTAGAGCAGAACAGCGTACAGTTTTATAGAACGTTTTTCATTCCATTCACACAGTTTGACCATCTACTTAGTTACAGAACAGACTGCAAGCACACACATCTTCTTTAAGGAAAATTCACCTTAAACTTTCCACCACATTTCCCTTCTTCTGATCCTAGAAAATGTTAAGAAAATAAATTTAAAGTATGCTAGTTTTAAAACTTAACATGTCTTAATTGAAATAACCCAATTATAGTTTTAAAATCAGTAACTTATCCTGGCCTATTGACCTTTATGTTACCTGTAGTTACAGCAGATGGTTTGCTAGGATCCTTTGAACTGCCTTTTGTCTGTGGGAAACAAAACAATAAGTTGAAGTTCCAACTTTCACACTCATCTGTGGAGAGTCGTAAACACAGCAGGAGTTCCTGGCTTTAGATAAAGGGTCAGAGACAGCTCCTGGTTGGAGGAGCAAAGATACGCCTTATTTGAATAAATTAAAGAAAAGAAGATAAAACTTTCTACACAGCAGTAACACATTAGATTTTGCTCTTGCAACTTCTCCAAAGACGTCTTTGCTTTTTGTTTGTGATTTCCATCTTTTGTCTTTTTCTCTCTCAGGTAAATTCATGTGTTGTTTGTGCTCTGAGGTTTCTGATGTTTTGTGATGTGGTTTTCTGGTGATAGTTTGCATCTGTCTTGAATAAATGCTGATTATTGTGACGATGTTATCTCTGTGTGATCTCAGTCTTTGCGCACAGCATTTTCTGAATCCGGGCATAGAGAGGATATAACGAGTCAAAAGGTTTTTAAAGTTCTAGAATTTTTGCTCTCTTAATAAAAATCACCTTAACTACAATTTTAACCTTATAAAACTAGCATCATAAAAAGTCCTGGTGCACCAATATACTCTGTTTTAGTGAAACATGGAGGTTTCAGTTTTAGCTAAACAAAGGGACTCCTGGACAGATGCAGAAACAAAACCAATGTTACATCAAATAAATGGAACATGAGATTATATATTTGAAGTAAAACAAATGAAGGAAAATCATGAAATATCAAAGAATTAACCTACTGAGTTAATGTGGAACCAGAATTCGACTTTTGTTGTCGTTTTAACTATTTAATGAATGCATCATGAATGTTGCTCATATTGTAGAAGCATCAGAATGAATTAGGAGCCATTTGGAAAAGCTGTGAAATTGAATGGTACCACATTTGGAGCAGGAAGTTTAATAGATTGATCCTCTTAAAGTGGTGGAAACGTGATTAAGTGATCCTCCCACGGCCGCCAACAAGCTGCACCTGAACAGGAAACATCCAGGGTGATATTACAGCCACTGGCTTCAGCCTAAAGACAGAAGTGAGATGTGGAAGTGAATGTAGAGACTGGACTGGAACCAAGGATGGTTGAACCTTCTCATTTATATACGGCACCAGCAGCAACCAGTTTGATTGGTTTCAGCAGAGAAATGCCTGGGATCTCGCACTGGTCCGAATGCGACACTGGACACCCATGGGAAACTATTTGAACATTTCTAACATTTGAAAGTAATACTGCGAGTGATTCTGCCACAGAGACAGACACAGAGGATCTGAGGGAGTAGAAATGGAGTCATAGAACAAACAAAGCAACTTTCACTTTTATTTCTTTGAGCTAGCTGCCACCACACATTGTCTGCTGGTTCATGATGGTCCACTTCATATGCAGCTCGGATGCAACAGAACTATTGGGCCAATAGTTTATGCACTGATATTGCAACAAGAATGATGAGGATGAGTGTGTCAGCCTTCATCTTGTGTCTTCACTGGTGATGGTGATGAATCCAGGAGTCCTGCCGTCTCTTCTTGGGTTCCTTTGTCCTTCCTGCTGCCCTGGTACTAAGCCAGGTGGGCGAACGGTGGAAGCTCCTCTTAGGGAGGAGGTTCTGCAGCCTTGACCTTCCTCAGGGTTTCCAACAGCAGGTGGTTCAGTGCTGAACGGCCTGCAGTGGCTCCTGTGAATCCAGGAAGTGCCCTTTGACCTTTAGACCTGTGTGAGTGGCCAGGAGAACCTGGAAGTGTCCCAACCAAAGCCTGGATTTCCAGTGGCAGTGAGGACAGGAGGGAGAGCAGCTTTCACAGCCTGATGGAGAGAGAGAGACAGAGACTTACAATATTCTAACATGTTATCTCCCATTAGGTTAGTTGTTAGTATCGTTGGATCTTTGCAGATTTCTCCTGCAGAGATCAGAAAAAGGGTCTCAAATGGGCTTAATTTAGCTTTGGACCTGGTTCTCATCCTCACACATAAAGAGCAGGTCTAAAGCTTCAGGCCAAGACAAACCTGTTTCTACACAACATGCTGCCAGTTTGGTTTTGATCGTCCCATTCTCCCTCTCCACCGCTCCACCAGGTTGTGGATGATTAACACAAACCAAGCAGTTTGCTGATGTCCTGTAATACCTTAACAACATGTGAGCTACTGTTGCCTTCCACTCTCTGCATTCAGCTTCCTTCATCCACACATTCATACATTTGTCATGTTTTTCTTTTCTCTAATAATTTCTTTTTGTTTCTTTGCATTTCTCACCAAGCTATGTTTGCACCTGTTTTCATTGATTTACATTTCTTCAGACCTCAAACTCCCCTCATCCAACCAGGAGGTGGGCTGAAGTTTAACTCCTTCATCTGGTCGATGCATCCGATCTCCTGTCGCCCTCGACTTCTCCAACTCACTGGATCCTGTTTGTGGTGAAATTATCTTTAACAGTCTGAGGAAAAACTGCATAAAAACCAGAGACAATATAAATTCTTTGTCAATATTTATTTGTAGGCTTTCCAGCATTTGGAGTCTCTGCTCACTGAACACAGTCAGGAGAAAGAGCCTCAGGCAAAACACAGCAAACTGTTTATAGGAAACGTTTCATTGAATTCACACAGTTTAACAATCTACTTAGCTACAAAACAGACTGCAAGCATACGCATTTTATTTCATAAAGCAAATTAAACATGATGGATGTCATAAGAATGAAAAAAGAAAATATTCTACAACTCTATAATAATCCAGAGTTCAGAGAAACGGCTTCAGAAGACTTTCCCATGATCACAAGCTTTACACAAGAATCATAACACTGTTATGCATTGATCCACTCATAATCATAGTAACCATAAAATGTTCCATCCCATCTGCAGGCTAAGACAGACATGTAGCCGACGTGTTTGTTGCTACCTGTTCTTGGTCTGCCAGTCACCAGAACCTCATTATTCACACAGAGTTCGTTTGTCCTTTACAAAGCTGTTGAAATAATAATTATATGCATCCATGAATTTCAGGCAGTGAAGCTCGTTTACAGCGTATGCACTCTTCGTGTTGATTAGTAGTTAACGTTATCGTAGGAGGAGATCGGAGGCAGCTTGTCCACATCGTCTGACATATTTTCTTCCTCTTCTCATACAGGTTGATCCCGACGGCAGCCATTTTGTTCATGTATCTCTCTCTGGTATTTTGGTCAAGAGTGTCCACATGTTTTCTTGTTGTTCTCAAAGCCATGGGTCCATTATGCATTGTACATGCACTTCCCTACTAAGATGGCGCGGATCACTTCTGGTTCAGACTTGATGGAACTGGATGTATTGGATGGGTTATCATGGCAGTGAAGACATACACCACCTACAGGCAGGTCACAGTATTACAAGCCAGGATCAACTGTGTTACATTTGTCACAATTCAAAACCCCAAAATGAGACGAGGACACAAACTGGGTTCAGGGCCTGAATGGAATTGGCCACCTAACCTTTGACCCCAAATATCCTATCATATGCTATCCTTGCAAGGTTGATGAAGAGCAGATTTAGATGAAGTGGGTTTTCTGTTACATTTTGTTGAATGTTTGCTTCTTTTATAAGTTTTACTTAAGTAGGTTTAGTCCAGATACAAATTTCTGAATGTTGAACTTCCTTCCTGCTGCAGGAGCACAGAGACGTTTCATCATAGATACGCAGACGGATAGATTTCCAGGAGTCTGAAACACGTCTCTGCTCCTTCCTGTGGATGTGAAATGAAGATCCTTTTCTCCTGGTTCCTTCAGACTGCAGTCTCCTCCTCTAAGCTGCCTTCAGCTCTGGATCCTTCATCATGATGGCTGTTTTCTGGTCCAGACTTCTGGTTCCTCCTGGCCTGGAAACAGAGGATGGTTCAGCTTCAATGCAAGAACTTTCCCAACTGAACACATCATGCATGATACATGCAGTACCTTAAAGTAGAGGACCAGGACTGATCCCAGCAAACCCAGCAGGACGACAACCAGTCTGATGATCAAAGCAGTGAGAGAGGCTGAAACCCAACGAAACAGATTCAGGATCAGCTTTCATCAGACGAGTCAAACTAGAAATTTACAATAATCATATAGACCCTTGTTTTCATGCTGCCTGTAGATCTGATCATGAACATTGACATCATCAATCCTCCTCTCTGACCTCATGATTGAGGCAGACAGCTGCTGGTTCACCTGAAGCAGAACTTCTCCTGATGGACTCCATGAGTTTACCTGAGACAGTGAGGTTGAGAGGCTGGCTCATAGAGGAGAAGTTATGGGAGAAAACGTAGACGTGGTAAACGCAGCGGTAGCTCCAGTTCCTGCAGCCTGGATGTCCTACCCACACATTTCTTTAAGAAAGTCCTGCCTGTTGTTTCTAATGATCTGATCCAA